GGAGGCTTTTTTGCCTGGGGTGGCAAAAAAGCCAGAGCCGGCCCTGTTTCTTGCACATATGGCTCAAACTTAGCCTTTATTATAGACTCATCTAATTTGCTGACGACTATCTCCCCGCTGTCCCCGTATCTTCCAGTATTATGGTTTTTACAGGTTTCATTCCCATTTATTATGTGTATTTCATATTTTGATTTTTTGGGGTGCATTAGATCAAATTTTTCCAAAATGAATCTCACTATTTCCTGCCCTTGTTTCTAAGCTCTCTAGGTGCCGTTGTTTTACATCTTATTCCCCAATGATGTTCAGAACCACACTCAATTTATTGTCTTCTGCTAATTTCATTAACACATTGTTTCACCCCTTTTTCCAAATAATTTTTGAAGACTGGATCTCACAAATCACTACACTGTTTCAAACACCTTTGTGCAACTTAACACCGCTGCTTACTGTTTGTTTGGGCAAAGACTGTAGCACTGGGTGGGTCGGGGGGAGAAAGGACTTGAGTGAGAGAAAGTGCCTGAAAGTTCTGTTTCCTCAAGTGCCGTCAGGAAAACATTAAAGAAGGTGAAAAAACTATATCTGTTAACAACATTAGATCCTGAAAGCTTTTGTTTTTTCTCATGACCTGCTTTGTTAGGTATTTGAAGGTAACTTTTGCCAGGAACAGATGGTGTTCAAGCAGACAACTGGCAAATGATCTAGAAGACAGCACTGAGATGATGTGTGGAAGTCTGGTCAGTTATCCAAATATGGTATGAATAGGAATGCAGCTGCCCAAAAAGCCTTTGTTTCAAAAAGGAAATGTAAGTAGGACAAAGAGAAACCTGTGGGCAAGACATTTTAGGACAAAGAGAAACTTGACTGTAGAATAATCACACTTTGTCCCAAGTGAGTCCATCTTCACAGTGGATGTATCAAATAGTCACTGGACCCTTCAACATTAGATAAAGTGGGTGAACGATACTTTGACATATACACACAAAAACAGAGCAGTGGATCTTTTAACATCTCGCGGTACACCTCAAAAAATGGAAAAGGGGTGCTAAAATTGAGATGACAGTGCTCAAGAGTACAAACACATCCTAATCCTCTATGCAATACTTTCAGGTGGCCAATTAAATGTGATCTGGATTTTTTTCCTCCAGTATGATACTACCTAAAACAAAAAAAGGTGATGTACGAGACTTGCAAATCAGGGACTTTACATATTATCCATATGGGCTGGATATGTAAACAAAGCCTTTTTTAGAGAGTTAAGACTGAAAGAATGTTTCAGTGGAGTACAGCTAAAATCCAAAAATTGCATTTCATTTACAAAAGTTCTATACCTTTAAAAACGAACAGTTAAGGGATCCAGACAGTTACCAATGCTATAGACTGACACTTACCATCACCCATGCACACTTAACATTGCTTCCTAATATCATTTGAAAAATGTACTCTGAATTGAAAATAAATTACTAGGAGATTATTCTTCAAGGGAACTATTTTCGGCGATCTCCTAGTAATTTGTTACCTTGACCTTTATGTATATTTTTGCTAATTTTTTTAGGACGCAATGTTACATTTGAGTGAGCGGTCTAAGTCTGGTGGTGTGATAGTGATGTTAAAGGTATTTATGAGGAAATCATTATCATTCTATTAATACTGTACTGTGTTTAAGGAACTAAATTGGTATGTCAGTGGAGACTGTTTCATATATGCACCCAAACACTTCAAAGCCTTACAGATATGAATCTATCACACTGAGAATTTAAATGTATATTTTATGGCTTATTTTTTTAAAAATAACAGACCAATACCATTATGTTTAATTAAGGCCTAACATACCACTAATATAATTTAGACCCCCAAATACAAGGAAATTTATATCTAATGCTGATCACTCTGTCCTTAATTCACCTGTCTGCAGCACATAAATAAGATCGATCATTACAAGGACCACTGCAAAATCTAGATATGAGAGGGGAATTAAGAAGTGTATGTTAAATCTTTGTCTTGAATTGCCTAGTTTGGGGGAGGGGCGGGGGAGCAAGGGATGTTGCTTTAGATGGTCTCAGCAGCGTTAGACTCTTGGGTGCTGTATTCTGCAGCAGAAAGGCCATATTAAGCTGTTTACTAAAGATAGCCCTGATACACTGTTATTCATCAGTGGATGCTGGGAACAGAGCAGCTGCTCTGGTTCAGATGATGATGTAATTCTCAGTGCTGTCAGCAGAAACTCTCTTTTATGCCCTGAGCTTTCACTGTTCTTTGAAAGCAAGCTTCATACTTCTTTCATGTCATCTACCATTTAATGGACATTCAGACCTCCCTAGATTGAGACATGGCTAATAATCTGTATTTATTTCATGTCACTTACACTTTCCTTCTTGATAACTTACTTACACATGATTTTCAGGTTAAACTCAAACGCTAACCAACTTTTTCAGCTAAAGCCGTAGATTTTGTTGCATAGCTACCATTTTATAAGGCTTTTCCATTTTACAAGCAACAAGCTTCTACTCCTTCTAGCCAAAACGTAAATGCTATCAAAGAGACAGAAACCTAAATACGACACTTATATAACTATTCACTGTACATCTACTGCAAACAATTAAAAACATTAAAAATATTAACAAATATTAAAAACAAATTACAGACAGACTCAGCAGTAATCTTCATAAATTCACATTACAATAACCAGTCAAAAAGGAACTGAAAGTGACAAATTTCTGGCTCATCTGGACATTGGCAAAAAGCCCCCAAGAAACCTTGTAATTTTTCTAACAAGATCCTAGCCCATCTCACAAGTCAGGTTTCTCTCTGCCAGATGGTCGATAGGAGTGCTAATGGAAAGATTGAAGCTGAAATAAATCTGCCACTTTTAATCAATCACAGGCAACCGTGTCATCGATGAACTGCTCATGTTATGACAAGCTGCTTTTGGTTAGTTATAAGCAAAAAGCTGATAAAATGTAATGCCTCCATATTTATTGTCAGTATCATATAAATTTAATGAAGGCATTTTTGAGGATTAAACACCATTCATTCACCAGTGATTTCGTGAGTCTCTCTGAAACCCACTGGATAGAAAAACAATTTATATACATTTGCAATTACATGCATAGGGTTTCACTGCAAGAGCTGAAAATAATCAAAGTTCACAAGACCCTCTGTCTTTAACAAGTTTCCAAACAAAGGCCCCGATCCTGCAACCAGACTTATGTACGGAATCCCACTGAAGACAAAGATAGCTCCAAAGATCCACCCACGTGAGCTTCATTGACTGCCGAGGGGCCCCGAGAGTCTGTTCGTATGGATTCAATCACAGGATTGGCCCTAAAACCAAATTTGTTACTATGTCTACATGCAATATAATGTAGCAGAAACTCCTCTACTACTAGACACTACTTCTCCCTATTACCCAAATTATAAACTCCCCATAACCTAAGTTATAAATGAAAAGCACCTCACTGAATTTCATGGCTCCTATCATGTAAAAATATTTTGACAAAAGATATTCTTTTGCCCGCACTGCCTTTATCCTAACAGGACTGAAACATTTGCAAAGAACAAAGTACAGACTTGAACTTGTCCAAGTCAATCCTTAATGTTATTTATTCTTGTTCTGCATTTAACTTGATAGCATCTGTCCAAGTGTGACTTCATTGGGGAGTTTTGTTTGAATCAGAACAGCACGATCAGCCCCCCCGAGATCATTTTAAAGAATACTGAACTGTGTGCATGCATGGGTAGAACACTGTTGATCCATTTTATGAAATGATGAATGCTGAGATGAGTGTCTTGATCTATTGAAATTTTAAGGGCTGCATTTTTATTCCAGTAATAATACTTGGAGAGATAATAACTTACAGTTATTATAGACTGCTATGGCACCATAGATTAGCCTCAAAGTACTGATTTTCATGAGACCACGTGGCAGATATGTGAATGTTCCACACTGTTTAATCAGTGTATATTTTAGTGTGTTTCTGAATGATTTTCCCTTTTAAAAATCCTTTTTTTGCTGTGAATTTGTGAGTAGAAAAAATACTTATTTTCCTTTCCATGTAGAATGAAAATAGTTTCTAGCTTTAAAGAAATATTGTAGTCAAAACAACATCTAGGACCTGCATTAAACATAAATAATAAATAATATTAAGACTCACTGTGAGTAGAGACAACGGAAAGCTAAAAAATTCAAACACAAGGCTGACATTTTACCTTTAAAAATCACTCCAGTGGGGTGAAAGAAGAAAAAAAGAACAATGGCAAGAGTTAAGGACAGCATGTTAGCTTACTTTTCAGCAAAATTTGTAACAAAAATTGACAAAAGTCCAGATGTTTTCAAGTAGGTGGTTGTAGTATTTGCTCCTGAACAAGTAAAATATGTACAAAGCAGTAGGACACACTTTCATTCAAGAATCTGCTGAGTTCCGTGCAATACTTCGGTATTACTTTGTGGTGCTTCAATACAAATTTAAATATACATTGTTGGGAGCAAAGGCATATTCAGGCCTCAACAAGTCTGTTCTGATAATATTTAACACCTCTGCATAAGTAGAGCTCTGCATGGGTAACAAAGATTCAGAGTAATCGTATTTGTGAGGAAAACCAAGGATAAAGTAACCACAAAGCTAGAAGAAACTGGTTTAAGAAAGCAGTAAAACCTGTACTGATAGGAGAGGAGAGTTCATATGAAAACAATAAACTAACATGTATGTATAAAAAAAGATAACAGAAGTTATAGTTAGCCTAATAAAGAGAAGCTGAGTATTGTCTGGTGCTGGAGGTGTATGTGTGGTGACACCATCTTGATGTACTTCCCGCTTGTAACTGATCATTACTTGCTAGTGTTTTGTCTTAATACAGGTCTGTTACCCGGATCTGCTGAGTGGTGAATTTCAATTCAACATACATCATTCAGCCTTCTAAGGGTGTAATGCTAAGTCATAGATCATAGAATATCAGGGTTGGAAGGGACCTCAGGCAGTCATCTAGTCCAACCCCCTGCTCAAAGGGGGACCAATCCCCAGACAGATTTTTACCCCAGTTCCCTAAATGGCCCCGGCAAGGATTGAACTCACAAGCCTGGGTTTAGCAGGCCAATGCTCAAACCACTGAGCTATCACTAAGGGCTTTGAAGTTAATGGGGAAAAACTCTCACTGACTTAAGTAGTATTTGAATCAGGCTCCTAATGTTTAGCTGCAGGTATCAGGAGACCAAATTGCAGATATCTTTCTCTTTTTAAACAGTTGTAACCATATACATTGGTATGAGCACGAGCTTTATTGCGCACGCACAATTTGGGTAACCATGTTCCTCATCTTCATTTGCAGCTTTCTTACCTGTCATTTCCATTAAGCTAGTCTTTTCCATCTGCTCCTCATTCTACATCTTTTGTTAAAATCTGCAGGTCCCCTGGAATGTCACTTCAACTCTGAATAGGAGGGGGAGCCTAGTTCTGGACATGATGCAACATGAAGACCTAAAAGGGAATCATTTGCTGGTCCATTAATATACCTACGTCGCAGGTGGTTGGAAAAGACATCTGAAATACACCCTGTCATGTCTTAATGCCATTCTAATGCAATTAGGTTTTAGGGTGACCAGACGTCCTGATTTTATAGGGATAGTCCCGATATTCAGGGCTTTGTCTTATATGGGCACCTATTACCCCCACCTCCTGTCCCGATTTTTCACGCTTACTATCTGGTCACCCTACAAGGTTTAAATTATTCTTTAAGAACTCTCTTGAAAATTGGTGCTTCAAAAGCCAGGTGTGCTTTGACCCTTTTCTTACGGTGATAAACTGAGAATATTTAAAATCACTCCTAATTACCCTATCAAAGAAAAGTAAAACTGAAAGCAGGCCTGAAGCCTCTGAAGAACTGATGAGGACATTAGCTGGACTAATGGAGAAACATGGTGTTCGTCATGGTTCCGATGCGCGAGAAGCAAAAATGAGCAGGCAGCACTTCAGGAAATAGCCACGCCTCCCCTGAGCTCCAACCACTATACTCAGCAGCATGCTTTGGGTGGTTGTGCTGCTTTAAGTGTCACTTATTAATTAAAAACTAAGCTGGGCTTACTGTAAATCCCAATTTAGTTTAAAGTCTGAGAGAAGCCAGTACTGCTCAAGAAGCAATGCTGAGTACAGCAGCCAGGCAGACTATGGCCTCATGAGGCAGGGGGAAATTCGAGATTTTGGTTGCCTCCATTGCAAAAGCTTACTTAATTCCATTTTAAAATCAATGAACATGAAAAAGGGGACTCAGATACAAGGGGCTCGGAGGTCTCTTTGGTTTTTTACTTATCTTATTTAGACAATAAAGAGACTGTCTAGTGACAACATGCCATTCTGTCATCCGGGAAATATCCAACCTGGATGCTTCTGAAAACTTATGTATGATGTAAATTTTCAAAATACTGTTAACGAACACTGCATAACCAGAGACCCTGTCCAAAGGCAACCTGATTAAAGGCTACAATCACTACCTACTTCCATTGACCCACTTAACCCTAAATGTCCATCTCAAAACCTTTGCCCTCCTCAAAAGCTAAATTGTGCAGAAACACAGTCCAGTGCCCTCTACTATTTAA